TGGGGTCTTTTGATAAAAAACCAGTAGAGTTAGGCACCACAGGGTGTCCAGCTACAATATAATAAGAAGATCAGTGGGTTAGATCAGATGGCTAGTCTATAGAACTTTACCAAATTGAGGTAAAAGGAAAAAAAGCGGTGGATGGGTCTTGTTCGCTTATATGGTGGACATGACAATTTCAAATGCATGCAGACTGCACTGCATAGTAAACCCATATAGTCGCTTAGATCAGCTAGCATTCCGAAAATATATAGTACGCACATATTTGACCTATAAAAGATAAATAAAAGTAGGTAGTCTTGCTCTAGTTGATGGAGAAAAAATATGAAATAATGGTTATAATCAAAATAAACCAGCAAACAAGCGGATTTGACAGCTTAAAATTACTGTGCGTTTCAATAGAGTCAAAACAGCTTATAGCAAGTGCCTGAAAATACTGTGCCAGGATGGAGAAAGCTTTGCTCAATATGACTCATAAGCGCCCATTGTACAAAACTTAGTACACCCCTGAAAATCTAACTTCTGATTTTGTTTTTGGTTTTCTTTCTGTTTAGTATTATTTTTGAAGTATTTTTATAAAGAAAATAAACATTGGCTATGTGAAATTGACCGTAGTTTTCATTTGGGCGTTAATGGGTTAATATTAACATTATTTCGTTGGTAGATGAACATTATTTCTTTGTCCAGGTGCCGGGTCGCGCGGCGGAGGGCGCGGACGGCAAGGTGACGATCAAGGCGTCGTTCCGCGCGCTGCACGTGTCGCGGCAAAACGCTCACCTCTGCATCACCTACCTTACCAAGGAGAAGAAGCAGAAGAGTGAGTATACATGTCTTGTTGGAGATTGAAGTTTATACTAGTTTTAGGATACAGTCACCACAGTTAACCGCCTCTGTGGTCTAGTGGTTAGACCACCTGCTTCAGACGCAGAGGTCCCGGGTTCGATTCCCAGTGGGTGCAGATTTTTCTTGGTGGTGGTAGGGCTTGTTCTAAGTCCGCCTGGCTAGCTACCACCATCTTACCTAAGTCTGTCGCCATAACAACAATGTTAACAGCATTATTGTGTTCCGACAGTTAGAGGTAAGATAGCCAGTTCCTCCGTGGTTGAGGATTCCGGGTGAAGCTCGCTTCCACCTTCGGCCTGATCGTCACTTACCATCAGGTGGGATACAGGCCAAGAGCTTCCTCGTTGTGGATAAAAAAATAAAACATAAGTATTATGCTCGTATAATTTCATGCTTATAATAAGCGTGTTCAAACAGTGTTTCGACATACATGCTACTAACTAGCAATTAGCATGCTTCAGTGCTAGTAATGAGCATGAGTGTAGTGTACTGTACCTTTAGAATAAAGGTCAAGCCAATAGATTCATTGAGCAGAGTGTAGCAGATTAAGTTAAACTTTTAGTCCGTGCGTACTTGTAAAGAAAATAACCCATTACAATGTTTAGAGATACCTATGTCAATTTGTACCATTTTGTCCTCAGTAATGCGCCTTGGCAAGAAGAAGGAGAAGTCCGGAGAAACGGAGTCGGGCCGCGCGCAAGTGGTTGACGGCGTGGCGCGCCTCATCTGCTCCGCCAAAGGCTCGCACAACGCGCCGCTCAAAGGTAACTGCACAGTAGATAAATTAAACAGTACGGAAGCTTCATACAAACGCTCGAAATCAGACTCACGCACACAGACGCACGCTTTACACGAGCTCTAAGCGAACCTCGCAGTCCATCCGTCGCGGGTGTCGCGCGCGTTGTGTTTTTAAAAGTAATATTATTGCATGCACTGTCCGCTGTATTTTTAAAAACATGCCACGAGTGTATTGCGTAGTATACGGCTGCTTGAACTCAGCATCTACAAAACCAGAACTTTCATTTTTTAAACTTCGTAATAATTCTGAATTGTAAAAATGATTAAATATTGCTTTTTAAATAAATTAACTACGCTTTTTAAAAATTGATGTGTTCTATTTGATAAAGTAATTTGCTCCGCGCGCTTTTGTACTAAGTGATGAACTGTATTTAAAATGAGGCAATAGGTATGTGAAACCTATCCGGTATTTTATTTTATGAGAATAGATCTTCTACCGGCCTCTAATACAGTACTTAATCAATTTATTCGATTATGTATTGGATCATTATAGAACCTAATTAACGTTTTATTTTTTTGTTAACTACTTAGTCAATTAATTTATTCCATTAGGTATTTGATAATTAAAAAACCTAAATAAACGTTTTAGTAAATAAGTAAGTAAGAACCTTATTAATTTTATAAAGATTAAAGAGTGCCAACCCTAACACTCAGTTGAAGTGTAGGTATTTAACTCGCCGAAAGGGCTAAGCTTCCGTACTGCTTTAGCTCATATATCTACTGTGGTAACTGGCTCTTAAGTCTAGAGGATTAAGGTTTATTCTTTGGACCAAGGAAATCACATTCACCATTTTGTTTTC